CACGGTCCTAAAGCCCGTTTACTCGTTGCGTGGGGATGAGCAACGCGTATGGTCGGTACGCGAAGGGAACAGTCGTTTGGCTCGGGGAACGCGCGACGGAGATCGACGCGGCAGGACGAGGGTTCTTTCCCTTCGGCGGGACAAGGATAAGGATAAACACGACCGCGTAGAGAGAAAGCAGCCGGTGGAACACCGCTAGAGGCTTCATCTTCTCCTCCTCCGCCGCCTCCCCCCACCCCTACTCTGGTTTCTTCTGCTTCCTTCTCCTCCGCTTCTTCTTTTCGCTTCCCTGGTTCTCTTCGTCGGTTTGCGGCTCGCCGCAGATCATTCGTATCAACATAATTACAAGCTCGGGAGCCGCCTCTCTGTTTCTCTCACCTCGCTCCACCCATCACGACGTAACACACGATCGCTTTCGCGCCCCGGTCAAGCCTTCCTCTTCTTCTTCTTCTTCTTCGTCGTCTTCTTCTTTTCCTTCTTATCTTCCCGCTCAGGACGGGTTGATTCCGACGCGCCTGGATACACGATACACTTCGTGTCCTACGACGATCCCGCGATATGTGCCGCGAAGTTATCGGATACTCGTTCGATTACACGGAACACCGAAATTCATCTTTCCCACGCACCGCAGCCTCCGGGAACGTTTCCAGAGCCATCTACGTCTTCGTCTTCGTTTTCGACGTTAAGCGATTCGTATGATCTGTGCCCTGTGCAAACGCGAAAACATATGTTTATCAATGATGCGTTTCCTCAAACGTAGAGGTTAGCTTCTCCTTTGCATACATAAAGACATATACTTTATTATTCGCTATACACGTTCTATGGGCATACATTTGTCTATCTATAAGGTTATTCCTCTCGTGTTAAAGTATAAATCATCTTCATACTAATTACATAACCTACAATAAATATTCTTCTTGTGTCTCTCTTATGACCACTGTATGACAGCAGTGCGCAGTATTTAACTTGAGAACATTAATTTATTTGGTATATAAATATATATAAAGGAATCATACTGAACAATAGGTGGAGAAATAACCGTATAGTATAAACAACGCGACGCTTGTACTTTCCGGGTGTCGTCGTCCAGACCAAACTAATCTATAATATAAGAAAATCGTAGGCATCGATTCATAGAGGCGCTTATGTCGATCGACACGGTGCAATTACGGAACACTATTAGAATATGCCTTGATCGAAAGAAAAATGGCGTACGCCCACGTTCTCTTATTAACTTCGTATCGAGAAAATAATAAACTTCGTACGAAATAAAACTCTGCTCGATTCTAACGTCGATACGAAGATTTACGAGCCTTTTATTTAACGCGCTCGTAATTTACGATCGGGAATAACAGTCCGGCCATTAGAATCGCGGGAATATTTAACGAATTACAGTCCGAGAGGTTAGGACGAGACGGGTGGGGCATCGAATTCCATCGAAAATCGTAACTCGAGCGTGGATCGAGGTTATGGATCGAAATATTATTTGCGGTAGGCGATCGGGGATCCCGCGATGAGGGACGCGATGCTTCTGGACGCCGTTGGAGAGGGGTCGTGGAGGTGTTAGTCATGGAACGAACCGGCCTTAAACTGGCTGCGTCTAAAAATAATTGCTCGTTGACAGGCCGTGAAATGAATTTATTTAATTTCAGATAGGTATAACAGAATTACACGGCAGTTGGAGGTGCGATGAAGCTTGGGCTGGCGTGACGGAGCCACTCGATGAGCAGAGGTCGTCGCTACGCCTCGGGAAAGAGAAGAGGAACCGAAATGGGGAGACGAGGAGCTCGCTTGGAAGCAGGTTTTCTCAAATACTCCGCGAACGTACCTTCAAAACGATCCTTTATCCCGCCGACGGACAACAGTTTACGATAGTCCACGACGCCTCCGTACCTAGAATCGCGAATCGGCGACTGCAACAGCCAGCAGAAGAGATTTTCTCAACGATAAATATTTTATAGTATTTTTATTGTATCGAGTCGCCATTTTCACCTTTCGTGGCACAATAAAGTTATTCTCATCAATTTCTGGATATAGAAGCCTCTATACTTCACGAGTTTGATATGAAATTTGTTCTTTTTTTTTTTAAATGGAAAGTACTATAAATCATTTATTATTAGCTCTTACCGAATTGAGCTCTATCAATTGATACTTTATATTTTCTATCTTCAAATATTACCTTCTTGTAATTGTAAAGCAATACAATATTTTGCTCTGAAAATAAAAAAGTTTGAATACGAATTTGTGTACCGAATTTATTCCTTTAGTTTGATCCTATTTGATTCCTATCCTTTTAGTTTGATCTTCCATTGGAAGGTTGGGAGTTTGAGGACCGATGCTGGTGATGTAGAGAAGAGCACGTTAATGAAAATTCGTTTATTTCTATTCGTGCTACATCGAGGATACGCCGTAAACGCTACACGCTACCAAAAAAAGACTTTATGTACAAATATCCACCGTCCCGAGGAAAGACGCGTTAATACTATCGTGGTATATGTTACAACTATAGCGGAGTCTCTCTTTCATTTTGTCGCGCGATCTCATTTTCTTTTCTCCACGCACGGGTATATATTACACATTCGCTTCGAATCGGTTCGCGTTACAACGACGAGAGTTCGATTTAATCGTTTTTCGCTTATTTACAAGTCGCTCGAGCCACGGGGAAACAAAAGGGACGAGGCAGGAAAGGGTGTTCTCGCGAGCAACGAACGAAAATTTTACACTTTTTTTTTCTTTTGTAAACTTCGTTTTTCGTCTTCCAGGTTTCGTTCGTGGATTGGAATTTTTTTTTAATTTTGCAATTTTTCCGTTCGTCGTTCGTTTGAAATTGATCAACCTAACCCTATTCTTTCCCGGATCTCGAGACGGTTAAGGGTCTAACGGTTACATTACGCGGACACAGAGAGCGAACAAGTACGGGCCATTTCCCTAAGACTAACTTAAATAAGGCTCGACGGAGCGCCGAGAATTTCGAGGTGCTTTCTCCTCGAACGAGAATTCCTCAACGTCCAAGAAGGACGCCATTATACGACGCTCACTGCAAGAAGCTACAAAGAATGCCCCCGAGCGGCGCTCGCGATGCCCCTCGACGCTCGTCGTTTACATTTTTACGACAGTAATTATATCATACCGAATTCTGTCAAGGTGTCACTGACCCTAACACTGTCACAAAGTTGTCGATTTTAAAACCACATGCACGTGCATTGAAATCTCTACGTCCAACGTTGAGGTGGAGGAATTTGATCAAAACACGCCTTAAATATTCTTACGTAGACTGTTTTCCATAGAAGTTGCATCGAAATCTAAAACGAGCGTATTACTCCGCGCAAAAATATGGCACGACTCCGCATTCGTCATCGTGTATGCACGAAACACACCCAACAATCGAGTATGAAGTATATCAGATTCACTTTCACTGTCTCTCGGTTCCTCTTACTATTCTTACTCTTGTTCCCAATGTACAGGGTGAACGGAAAGCACCAGCCATTTTCACCGAGAGTCAGTGACATCAACGAAATCTGTTTAATATTTAACGAACAAATTTCGTCGGTATAATGAACAATCTTCAAAGAAAACAATTAACACGTTGCCTGCCAGACCAAACCCCTAAAATTAAAAGGAAAATTAAATTTTGTTTTTAAACAATTGGAAACTAGCATACCAAGAATTTGTCATGGAATTTATTTTCACAGACTCGTTAAGATTCAAGGGCCCTATCTTTATTTTAGCTTTATTTTCTTTTACATCTAATCTTGAGAATTAATTTTTCTAACTCCTTGGTGAAAAATAGTGTCACCCGTATGTGGATGACGTGGCAGTCAATGTGTTAATAATATAAAAAAATCTGGAGAAAATATAAAACCGATCGAACTTCTCGTGCCTCCCTTTCTTTGTGTCTCTCGCGCGGATGACACCTTGACAGACCTCCACTGTACACGAATTCCTCGCCAACGACGAAATAACCTTTCCAAACGATTCCAGGGGCAATTCTGTCCAGCTCTCCCAGTATATTGCCGAGCGTTTCGTACGCGTTAACCCTTTACGAGAAGCACGTTTGGATCGGAACGTTCGCGGTGCCCGAAGGGTTAACCGGGATTTCATGCAGAAACGCGCGTTAAATTTATTTATGCCCGCGTGAACGCTCGGCGCGGATTTCCGGTATCGCGACGGGAACGAGACTTTTTTTTCTTTGGCTGCACCGCGTCTCTTTTTCGCCTCTTTTTCGCTCGCGACGAATCGTTCTCGTCGCGGTGTCGCCGTAAATTCTGCCAGTAAAATTCAAAGGAACGCCGTCGACGTAAAATTGTTAGGATAAACAACAGTTTTGGCTGCGAACAATTGCTATCCGCGGGGCAATTAAACTGCGTCATTTAATGCACTGCCATTAAAACAAATACTGGTTAATATCTGATTGAGGGAACGAGTGCTAGGAGAAGTCTTAGGTTATGTTTGACGCGGTATGAAGTCTGTGTTGGTTTGTATTCGGTTCAAATGGAAAACTAGAGATTTATAGTTTGCTGAGAATGTTAGAAATATGTGAGATCAGAAGTATCAATCGTTTGTTGTTAGAAGAACTAGGGGAAGGTGATGGAGACTTGTGTGAAAGACTCTTTTGTACCATTAAGATCATGGTAACCTACCCTTTGGCCGCTCCACACTAGGAGGCAAAGATCCAGAGGATGTTCGATGATGTTTTGACCAAATCTTGACTCTAACAAAGAGAATACACTGTGTATTAATCGTCGATTTTGCTGAAATTTGGCACACACCCAATGTACCCTGCCATCGTACGCGTTTAAGGGATGAAATCCGCCTTGAAACTAGTATCTGCTCCCACGTTGGGTAATGAGAGTCTCGTCAGCCACGCTCGACCACTTTGAATAAATTATAATTACACGAAAAGATAACAATCTCGTTATTTTCATGAACCGACAGAAGTTACGGCGCGATCGCGTTTTCCAAGTCGTGAAAGAGGTACAACGAGGTTATCAACGGTGAGTTTGCGAGGGTGGGCGCTAATTGGGGGTGGAAGGGCGAGCCCTGAGGGGCGGGGGCGTGCTCGCTGGCGGAGGATACGGGGTGTACCTGAGGGAGGGAGCCGTGGCGGTGGGTGGCGAGGATCTCCGCGAGATCATCGCGACCGGTGGCGGCTGCCAGGGCCAGGGAAGGGCTGCTGGGTAAGGAAATGGCGCCGTGGCCGCCACCGCGGGATAGGGCGACGAGGAACCGGTGGTGGGTCTGGTTCCAGGGTGCGTTTGACCCACGGTTCCGTAAAGGAGCGCCGTCGACGGCGTCATCCACGGCGGCAACGCGTGCCCGGAGTTCTCGTGCTGCGACTGCTGCTGCGACTGCTGGTGGTGCTGTTGCTGTTGCTGTTGGGCGCCCAGAGCCGCTGCCGCCGCGGCCGCCGCTGCCGCTGCTGCTGCTGGTGACGACATCGCGAGGTGCTCGTACAACCGAACTGGAGCCACGCCGCAACGCACCAGCTGCTGCTCCATCAGCTCCATCGGGTCTCTGCAACAACCAAACAACCAAACGATTTTAACATTTGTCCTGGAAGTATTGTGAGTCCGCGAGAAGTTGACTGGTGAGATGACAGAGGTCGTGGTGCTTCTGTAGCGGTACTCTCAGATGGAATAAGTTACTAGGTTAAGAACTAGATTTATATTTCCTTTAGGTTGGCATTGGGTATAGACGCAATAGATAGTTGTATATCTAGATTAAGTTAGTTCTAGGTATAAGAGTCCTTCCCTTTATTGTAAAGAATAAAAGCATACGGAAAAAGTGAAGCACGCGTTGATTATTGTTCATATACCTCGAGTATACCGCTATATTTCGCTCACTTTGCCTATCCCCTCCCACTTTTACCATACAACGCGTCGCCATTGGGCTCGCCAAACGCTAGAGTGGGGGTCCAGGCACCAATCGGACCCGCATTCCTCTCGCTAGCCAACTTCTCGCGAATGCACAGTACTCAGAAACTCAGGAACAAAGATTGCCCACCCAACAGTGTTATTTACCCCGATGCTAATATTAAATTCCTTCACAATTTATAATTCTAGACAATTCTGACCGATTCCAGACCCAATTAAAGTAACTTAAAATCTTGTCGCGTGCTCGATAAAGCATCCGGCTTATGCTTGCGTCAGAGGTGTCCGCGACCCAATTTGTTGCAAATTAAATTCACTGTCCCTTTCGTTCCACGCGAAAGAGTCGCGAAGAAAGTGGCGGGGAACAAACGGTAACGATAAAAAAAGGTTAAAAACGAGCGTTGCAAGGTGTAAGGATCGATCGAGACAGAGAGAGAGATCGCGTCCGTTGATCGGGCGATCGACGTTATCGGCATCGAGCGGCATTTAAAGGGGAATGAATCGACGATACCTCGACGCGCCAAAGGAGTGAAACGTACGGGGGAACCGTAGGAGAAAAGGAGGCGCTCGCGAGTAATTAAGACGACGTTTCCTCGTTCGCGCGACGGATTAACGTGATGGATGATTCGGTGCATTAGACGCGGCTTAATTAGGGTTAATTACCGGCGATTGTACGTACGGAGATCGGTCGGGTATTGGCAGTAACGCTAACGAGCGAATTATCGGCCGGCCATGGATGGGAAAACGCGTCGTTGTCTCGTTCGTGGACGGTTCGCGTGATATTCGCGATAATTAATGGCCGTTGCCGTGGTATCATTGCGTGGCGGCGCGGCCGCGTTGCATCGTCATTTCCTACTTTCGTGATTAAGCGCGGGAGTGGTGCGTAAACACCGGGTCAGATTATCGCCAAGACTATCTTAATTATTAAGACTTCATTACGGATCGCCGACGATCACGGGGCCGTGTTCCATGGCCGATCTCGGTTTCGTAACCGCGGACACGGGTTTTCGAAACAGGAGACCCTCTGTGCGTTCGGTTCCCGGGAATCCCACCCGCGTAGCTCCCCGGAGAGAAAACGATCTCGATGGCCGCGAGTTCGGTAGTCTGGAGAAGTCGAGTCAAGTGGTCGAAAGAAAACCTGATACCGGCCCTCGGATAATTTCACCGAGGCCCCGCCGACCATGATACCCTCCTATTGATCATCCGGTTCCTCGAAAAACACGAGAAACACCCGAGGTTCCCTTTCACCGGATCCTTCTGGGGAATCGTGGCCATCGTGATCTATTTTTCTCTTAGATTTTTAATAAGAAATAGAACCTGCACCAGGTTGTGGTTTTCTTAACATTGACTTTCGTGTCCCCCATATAGTGTCTCGTAAAAATTTTCACGGTTTAATTTTGGTAGTCTACGCGTTGTCTACGATGATAGATCTCGATAATATTTTTTTGCTTCAACCGCGTCAAAGGAGGGGGAAACAGGTCGATCCAGGGGGGGGGGGAACGAAAAAGGGACAAGTACGCGACGAAAAGAACGAAAGGGAGAAGTAAGAGGCGAAAGAGGAACAATGGCTCCGGTGTGCAGTTCGCGCGTCTCGGTTACCGGCCGACTGCTTAGCGCGTAACGTGACACCGAACGACGTATAGAAACTAGAAGAGACGCGTTTATGCGACCTGGCGGCGCAGTTCGAATCTTTATTCGCCGACAAAAATGAAAATCCGCTCGACCAGCTGACGCGAACAATTTTTAAACGCCGGGGAAATACCCAGGCGTTGCGAATGGCGTCAAACGCGTAGACTTTGAATCCATCATGGCGTCGTACTTGGCTTCTTTAAGTCCTATGGGACCCCGATATGATTTTCAAATTGTAGCATAGCAAATGGAAATATTCGGTAGTTCTATTTATTTCGTAGCTCACTTGTAGCTTATATAAACGATCGATAGAGTTTACATCGACGTGCTCAGCATCAAGGGGGTTAAAATCTAGCGTAGATCGTTTGGTCCTCGAGTGTCCTTTTATAAATATCAATTACACGACGGTGTACGAGGAGAGTTGCTTTGGGGAGATCCGTGGCAAGTTCTAAAGAGAAGCCAGAAGGCATAGCGGAAGGAAGGAAGGGCTCGAGAGGGCGAAGAAACGAGCCCCGGCTGAAAGAAGCGAGGGATTAGGGGGGCCCGGGGCTAATCGCCGTCCGCTCGAACGTGCCGGACCACACACCGCCGCGTTTGCGGCCATTCCTCTTCTGCTTCTTCTGAAATATCGCTGTCAAACGGCCGAACTCTATTAGTCGACACGTACGATCGTCGATTCGATCGATCGTCTCGCTCCTAAATTTCACCGAGATCCTCCGAGACGCTCTCGGCGCATAAACCAGCAACGAACAGCCTCGGGGGATGTTCGCGATGCGAGAGAAATCCGTCGTTTCGCTCGTAAATCGCGTTTCCATGCTAATGTTATTAGTCGTTAGTTTGCACGATCGAAGTCTCGAGTGAAACAACTTATTGAAAAAAGAAAAATCCTGCTCCCCGTAAAAATTGTCCAAAGAAACTGTTTTGCAAGATATAGCGCGTTATAAAGTACATCTATGCAACGAGTTTTAGTTTTGGTTGCTTATTTTTGGGGGGGAGGAAGGATGGAGGAAATCCGTCGAGGCGATAACACGAGGATCTCGACGCATCTCGGTTCGTCGATAATTGCTTAATAGCACGTGACGCGGTAAAACAATCCGGAAATCGAATTACGCGCGACGCAGAAGGCGAGTCGGAGAGGAATCGAGCGCGGTCGCGCGCCACGAGTTGCACCTGTATACGCGAAACGGAAATGACGCAGCACGGACGAGTCTCTCTATGCATTAACCCTGGGCTGCAACTCACGACGCGGCCTCCCAGCCTTGAATTATATCCTTAATGTTTTCATAAAGCTTCCTTATGTACAGACAATAAAAGCCCTAATTACAGTGGTTCGTCGGGACGAGAGTGCGGCCCGAGGCGAACGCCTATTACTATTCGCGCTATGTCGGGCCTCCTGTAATCGTTACACCGTGCAATAAATATTCCTCGTCGATCCGACGAGTCCAGTCCGCGCGTTTTAACCTCTAATGGCGCGGTTACGTTGCAAACGTTCTAATTACCATCCTCCTGACCCTTTCTCGAGTGTCCCCCGTCGCCATTTTGTATCTCCAAACTCGTATTCCGCTCGGAAAAATTTTTATTTTACCGATTGAAAATCCAAGAATTTGGAAGAAAATCGAAACTTTGAAACTACCAGATCAGAGTATCTTTTAAAAATATAAAGTCCCAAATTTTTCAAGACACTCGAGAGTCCCCCCGAGCATCGAATCGTCCCAGGAAGTGGCAGCCAGCGGAGAACAAGCAACGTCGAGCGTGCTGGCGATTTCGTTCGCGTGTCTCGAGTTTTTCTTAAGTAATTTTCCTCGTTCCCCGAGATCGTCGTGGAGGCAAGAGAACGATGTCTTCGCGTGGTTTCGCGTTCCGACTTGGCGAGCCGAGCAATCTCGTATTGTGAACTCCGTGATTTCTCACGCGAGCCTCCTTAGTGGCGATCTTCGACATTATACTCCTCGTGTCTCGTCCGTATCGGGGCGCACGATCGAGCTTCGACTTCGTTTCAGATTCGTCATTCGAAAATAGCCGCGCAAGAACACCGGGACGCGGAGGAGTTTTCCACATCGAGACGCGAGGTTTCGAGCGGTAAAACACTCTCGTTCGGGGCTCGCGATATTAGCGCGGAGGGGATTCCATCGAATGGGGGAGCCTGTTATTCTCCGCCTACCCCGAGGCTGACACAAGGCATTAGGTAAGTGGTAGATAATAATAGGTTACACCCCACTGATGGCCGAAGGTAGTTCATCGAGCGGCTTCGTTCGACTCGGTTTCTCTCGCACGCACGGGGAACGATCGACGAGAGACGGATGGGCCTCATCGACGGGGGAACGTTTCGCGAAAAACGCTTTCAACGGCCGTCTAATGGACGAGCGAAAACTAAATGTTTCAACGGCGTTCGATCCGACGGGACGACCAAAAAATTCCGATAGTCTCGGGATTAAAAAAATTCCCGCGGGAAAGTTTCGAGGGGGGGGAAAAACGTCGAGGGGCTCGGGACAAAAAGAGGAACGATAAATGAGAAACGGACCGATCGCGCCGAAATACGAGTAAGAAACAAGGCCAGCGAGAACGAGGAGGAGGAGGAGGAGGAGAGGGGAGGGGGAGAAGAAAGGGAGAAAGGGGGCAGAGAGAAAGAGCGAGTGTAACAGTGAAGAAATTAATAGCCATAAAATATGAATAGAAATTAGCAGGTTCGGGGTGGCGTGACGCGTTTGCTCGCTCATTTCCTTTCGGCGCGTTGAAAAACAACAAAACAACACAAAATACGGTCGAGCCTGTAATTTACCCGGCTGCCGCCTAGCAGGCCGACGCGCGATCGACCTGGCTCGGTGTGTAAGTGCGCCCGCACACCTTCGCATCCCGGCCCTTTCCATCGCGTACCGCGAGTAGCGGGGCACACCGACGGTGTGTGCGAGCCGGCCGCTCCGGTCGCTTTGGTGCAAGGAGGCGCGCGCACCGCTGCGAGGTCGACTCCGGCTCTACACACGGCGCTCGCAGGCCGGGCCATCATCGTCGTCGCAC